TGATCAGGCTCTCCTATCAGTCTGGTGGAGACTGGGAAAGTGTTCAGCGCCGTGTAGCTCAGGACAACAAACGGTCGGTTGAAGGGGGAAAAAAAGCGTATTAATAACTCATTTAGTCTTCTCGTGTTTAAGTACTGTGTTGTGTCTAGACTCCACATTTGATTACTAAATCAGAGTTTACAGTGTCTGTGATTAAAATAAGGTACCAAAGTCAATCCCAAATGGCTGTAATTATGTTAGAGTATGATTTGAATTTGGGAAAATAATAAACATTTTTTTTGTGTGACAGCTACAAACTTTTTCTCGACTAATAACCAGGAAAGTGTGGCTGCTATAAAAATATTAATACACAGCAAAGTCCATTAAATCAAAGCAAAGGCTCTGTTAAGAACTTCTTGACTTTATTCACGGCTTCAGTTCCCGTTGGCAAAAGAACATCAGTATGTAAGTCATTCAGAAAGCATAAGGCTGTTGTTATTCTATTATTTTAATTATTTGCTGTCAACATAATCCACAAAAAGACGAGAAAAGACCAAAACCAACATGTCAGTCCGTCTCTCAGCCCATTGGTTCCTACTGAAGACTTAAATCTTAAAAAACACCTCACAAATATACAGATTAATTTTGACACTGTTGTTTTTAGGACAATGTAACTCTCACAGGAGATAATGTTGCATTTGTTGGGGACTATTTTCAGCAGCGGATGAATCCACATGTGGCGCTCTAGTGAGTATTTTGGGCAGCAGGACGGTGTCTGTGAGATTCATCAGGCTGTGATACACAGTACTTGTTAGGAGATGTTTTGGTCTCTTTATGGGATTTCTTGACAATAAGAACATCTAGAATATCACCAGACTTCCTTTATCCTTTAGATATTGAAGAAGAATGTGGGTAAAAAACGGTCTACAACTTTTTTTATTTTATCTTTCTGTGCTAAGAGACTGAAGTCAAGGTTGAAGCAGCATTCACAGCATAAAATTTTGTCAAAAACAACTAAACAACCGAACCAGGAGCTCATTTGGAGCTTGAGGAGATTCTACTCTTTAGTTTCCAACTTGTGCGATTTTTTTTTTTTTGAGAATGATTTGATTCATTCGAGCGACGTGAAGCAGGACCTCGTACAGATCTCATCAGCTTTTCATTGTTTATCTTTTTTTTAATGTGTTGTTTGTGTCTCTATGTGCCAACATAAGTAACAGCGGAGCTGGGTCTATAAAGCTAATATTTGTATCTAATGTTCTAAAAGAAAAATGCAGCTGCATATTTGATTCAGAAGGGTTTTTGTCTGTATAATAACTGGTGAAGGAAAGAGAATTTTGCTGGGGTTTTTTTCTTCTCTGTCCATCTCCAGTTTTGTGTTGTTTTGATTTCCCTGTTTGTATCGACGTATATTCAATGACAGTAAATGTACATGACTACTGCCTCTCGCCCTCTGTCAATGGCTTTTCCTTTTAAAACCGAGAAATATGCTTTTTCCCTGAAGGTTCATGGCGATCAAAATCCACTCCGAACACCTCACGTTGTCTTTTGGTGTGTCAAATGTTTTCACTGCCAGTGAGTGTATAATTCAAAGATTTTTATGAAAATGTATTCAGTATAATCACATAGCTAGAATAAGAAACTGTAGAAACACTAGAAATCATTTCCTAGTTACTAAAAGTAAGGCTAAGAGCAATAATTATTATGTCTTTAGATTATAGTGAGTATTTTTTTTGCTCTTTTGTCCGACGATGAACAGACTGTTTCTGCAGCCAAAGCAGGGAGGAGGAGGAAAGTAGTTCATGGGAGCTAATTAACAGTGCTTGGGTTATTTTTCTAATAAAAGACGTTAATTTTTATTTCTCATTGTTTTTACAAAGTCACTCCATGTTGTGCTGAGCTGCAGCGATAGAATAAGAGTTTAAAAGCCGTCGACACACTCAGGAATGAAAGAAGGTAAAATGAAAATGTTTTTAATGATGCTTTTTAGATTAGAACATGTAGGTTAGTGAGAGAGGTGGTGTTAATGTCGCAATCTAACTTTGAGAATGAAGAGCTACCAAACTTTTTATAACTGAAAAAGTATCCCACAAAATTAAAGTTTGTACACTTAAAAAAAAAAAAAGAACCTAAATAAAGTTAGAGATACTGTGACAAAAAGATAGTCTGAATATATGGCATTTAATGTCACAATTAAAATGGGAATTTGTCATTAGCACAACTCATGAAATGATTAACTGCAGAACTCGCTTTGCTGGAAATTGTTCATGCAATTAAAGCTGCTTTTAAGACATTTCAGTATCATTCTTCTTATTACTAATATTTTTTGGATAGTTTCCTGATTGTTTATGGATGATTTAATATTTCTTTCGGATATACAGGTGCATCTCAGAGAAGAGCTTTAACAGCAGTGCACACCCTGTGTTTATTATGCTTATGTTTAGACTTTTTAACTTATAATAGAAGGAAAAGCACACATGTAAATAATGTTCATCAAAGCTGCATTCATTTAGGTGTGCAAACTGGAACAGTAGAAAGACCAACCAAGATGGTTTTGGTGAGTTACATTTTGTTTCTGCTGAGTTTGAATAAAGAGCAATGATCTGCGAGGTTACTGTAGTAATTGTTTATGGCGTCTTGTGGCTTTGACCAGAGCAAGTAACGGCTGTTTCTGGTTAAACAAAAAGGATCATACACTTTAACACTTTATCTCTGTAGGGCAATGGTTCTCAAACTTGTTCTTGTCACCCCTAAACTGATAGAAATTAGACCACGGACTCCCATTTGATACAATTTTTTTCCCCCATCTGAAAGGATTTTTTTCTTTTATATGTTTTATTACAGAATGTTTATTCAACCCATGACCAAAATAGTCATACGTTCTTTTATTGTGTTACTTATGGATAAAATGTAAAGTAAAAATAAATTATTCCCCTTTTTGCTGGGGACCCTCTGGAGTCCCCTCAAGGACCCCTGGGGTCCCCGGAACCCACTTTAAGAACCACTGCCGTATGGATCCTTTCCATAATGTTTTCAGACACTTAAAAATAAAAATCTGAGCCTGTCAGTGGGAAAACCAAGCACTTTTAGTGGACGTACTTTGACGGAAAGCTATTTCCGAGGTTTAGCTCTCGCCCAATACTGGACCAATAACAAAATATTGTTGTTCCCTTTAGTCACTTAAACACAGAAACATGGGAAAATAGTAAGTTTTCCTTTTAAGTGAGGGATTTAAAAAAGTTTTTATGAAAAATTAGGATGTACTGTAGTGATGACACAAGTTTTCTTTTTGTGGACGGGAAAAACTGCCAACAAAGATGACTAGGTTTTACAGTTCTTGCATTTTTGTTTTATTATTTGTTTGTCTGGCTGGTAAATGGTAATTTTAGATGTGTTTGCCACTCTGACAATTGATATAGCACCTTGGAAATGAAATGTAAATGTGTGTAAATTGCCTTTCACATCAGTCTCTGTAGCTCCTTTCCGTAGGTCATTGGACATTATTCATCATGTTCAGGGTTTCTTATTGCTATCCTAAATGGTATCTATCCCCCTCAGGATTTTTAAGGAAAATGCTAAATTTGGTCTGTTCTGGAAAGTCAGAAACATAATTGTTACCCATTAAACAGATTTGTTTTTTTATTACATACAGCACAGTTTTGACAGAACACACATGGTAAAGGTAAAAAACCTTGACCTTATTCTATGGTTTTATTTACACTTATGACAATATTATTATACGACATATGCTGACACAAATCAAAGCCTGTCTTTTGTGGTTATTTGAAAGTTTTCATACACATTTGATTTAGTAATTTATTTATTCATAAATGTACACAGAAGTCAGTTGTTTCTGATCAACTAGATATTCAGCACAAGTATGACCTGCGCTGGCACTGCGGTAAAAATAGTGACCTACTGAACTGTTACCAGCGTTACTTGTGTTATGGTTTATGTGAGTACAAAAAGACTGAGGGTATACTGTGCTGTGCTACATTTCCACCAGGGTCACACATGTTCCTGTTTGGGTTTTCTTTGATGAATTCATTTTCTGTGCTTTGCTGTGTCATCTCTAAGTGAGCAGGCTACAAGCCAGTTTGTCACATGTTAAAAAGCAGTAATGGGCATCGGATAGTTTTAAATGAATGCAAAGTAATAGCTTGTAAAAGGATACCCATCAGAAAATGCGGAAGTGAAACAATGTAACCTGCCATTTAATCAACGAAATCTTTTGTTCAAGCAGTCGAGAAGAAAACAAGGAAGCAATCTGAGACTCTTTCCGTGAGTCTTTATAGGAAAGTGACTCATGTTAACTTCGTTCTCACGGAAACTTTGAAACCAGCAGACTTCAGCTTCTTGTTGTTTTCAGGGCTGTCAGTGGGGGGATCTCTGATTCAAGATATTATCTTGAATGCATGTGCGTATTTGTTGCAGAAAAAACTTCTGATGATTAGAATCGTATAATTAGTGGGGCTTCATCCCAATCAGCATTCACGTAGGCTATTCGATGTTTCAGGGTTCCCGAGGTGTTCTTCTCGACTTCTGTATTTGAGAGTCATGTGCTTCTGGTTAGTGCTTTTTCTTATTCATTGATTTTTTTGGGGTGGTCCCCCCGAATAAAGTGTGGGAAATAAAATTGTGCATTAACAACGAAGCCACATTATTTCCCAAACATTAACCTATCTTCCATAAAATGTTCTGTTTGAGGCCAGTACAGTAACCAATAGTATAAATCCTAAACATTGTTTAATAAATGATCCGAGTCCACAAAGCCAACCTGATGAAGGCTGAGGTAAAATGCATCATTCCCACAGATGCAATCGTTTTTCAGTAAACTCCCTCCTGTTGTGCAGCAACCTCCTCCATGTACCTGCACTATTCATGATAATGCTCACACAAACACACACACACACACTCATACAGCTAAAATGGAGGAAGATTTCATAACAGGAACACTTTGTGCTTTCAGATTATTTTTAATTAAAATTAAATTGTGTGAACATTCGACAGAAAATTTAAAAACAATATTTTCCCATAATAGGAAAGCATTTAAAAAAAATCACAGTTCAATCAGCTTAGTATGATGGCAGATTAGGGCTATTGTAGGTAAAACAATAGCCTAATTATGGGGGGCAGGGGTACAGTTACAAGAAAAAAACAAATTTTCAAGAGAAAAAAAAATTAACAATCTATGGGAATACAAAGACATAGATTTTTTCGAATGTGTTTGTGTTATCAAAGGCTCTGTACTCTAGTAAAAGCAAGGAATGCACGTGTTAATAACAGCCATCATATATAAGTTACTTTCACCCACAGAGAGATACTACTTTCTGTTCAAAGTCCAAAAGCATAGAAAAGGGGAAGAACTGCAGGCATTTATAAATGACTAAGATGTGACATGCTTTCAAGTGGCTTTGTTGCAGTCACTCATATCTGCCCACCTCTTCTCTTATGTCTGCACTGACTTAACTGAAAACAAGTAATTTATTCTTAAAATATCCCCTCCCCTCATCTGGCTCTGTAATCAAAAATAATCTACAATGGCCCTAAAATGTCATCATAGTTTAGTGAGGAAATTTTCGATAGTAAGAAAACAGGGGAATGATATTACAATTTACTGATTTGGAGGAATTTCATTTAGAAAGAATTTCACTGGAAGGAAATCATTAGAGCAAGTTTGCTATTATCAAATATCGTCATCATCAATCATGGTGGAAGTGGCATCGTAATCGCAAATACGACAGCAGACGGAGGGAGGCATCACAGTTTCTTGGCACAAACAAAAGGTTTACTGAAGTGACAGGGGACATCGTTCCAAAAACGTCCTGATGTAAGAAGAAAAAAAGTACAACAGCATGAAAGTCTCCAGTTTATATCTTGAACTGATCAGAGTGCTTTTAAATGTCTCTAATGTAGTGCTCATTCTTTAGACAAATCAAGACGAGTGTATGAAAAGAAACAGAAATACAATTAAAAATACTCAGGAAATAAAGAAATACTATTTGTACCTGCAAAGTTGATCTCTGTACAGTGTTGTCCTCCTGCATTGTTCGGCTCCCCATAACCCCAGTATGTGAAGGCAACCTTCGAGCCATCTGTCCACATCCACGTTCCCTCCTGGAAGAGAAAGATGACTTTATAGCAGGGACGTGTAACCTTGCTTGTAAGACTCTGTTGATGTGGAAGTAAGTGATTAGACCTGACCATGAAATATAACATGACAGAGCAACTTAACACCCCCTGAAAATCCTGTTTTTGCTGACCTCCAGTCAACTAACATCTCACCTGTCCCATCAGTGATGCTGGGTGTGGTCAGAGATGATATAGGCTTTGCTGTCTTTTCACAAAGTGGCCTTATATCAAACTAGCACTGTTCCAATTTACATTATTCATATGCACCTAATAATCACCTCCAGTACAAAAATAGCCCATTATTATAAAACAACACTAGTAAGCAGAGTCTGAAATTGGCACCTGCCACCTGCCAAATGAGGGTAAATTGTTGGCAGCAGCAGGTGAAAACGTCGGGCCATCCAACTCTTTGGCAGACTGGGAAGAACATAAAACATGTAGTAGGTTTGCGTGTTGTGGTGATCGCTGCACGCACCTGTGTCTCACACAAAATACAAACACCCAGCAGTCAGCTCAGGGGTTATCTGTGGCAATGTTTCAAACCAAACTCACCAGTGGAAGAGGCCCAGTCCATCCGGCCGGTTGGCTTGTCAGCAGCAGCAGCTGCACCACAAGACTACAAGAGGTAAGTCCTCTTCACTTGGTTTTATTTTTGATGGCAAACTTTTGCTTGAAACTCAAACTGAGTATTTTTTATTTGCTTGCTGGGATCCAGCAGAGGAGTTTATTTGTTGAGATGTGGATTCTCGTGGGGATTTGAGATGAGGACCCATTCATTGGTGGCTGAACTGTAGGTTTTGTACTGTGCAATGACTTCATAATACACTGTGGTAAACTTCAAGTTCCTGTGTGCTTTGTTTTTCCTGTCGTCAATACCTGCTTGTTAGTGAGAAGTACTGAAAGACATGGGTGTTTTGTGCTTTTTGTCTAAATATTGAGCATTGAATCACAACATTATTTACATTATATTAGCTGATTCATAGTGTGTATTCACACCTGCCTTGTTTGGTTAGACTGAATCACACTAGAGTTTGTTTTTCCGTTGTTGCAAATATTTTTATGTGCACTGTGTGTCAGTCAGATTTTTATTATGTAATTAGAGATGATGAAAAGGCTCAACATGACTCATAGTACGCATAGCAGTATGCAATAATATTAGCAGTAAAAATGTCTGATGTAATAAGCTGTTGATCTGGTTGTATGTACATAGCCTCTCTCTATGAATTCAAACTTTATATCTGATCACTGTCTTCTGAGCAGAACTACTCTCAGCATGCAACATAAGAGCATGCTCCGTCCACCAGAGCTTATAGTATAAAGTTTTTTTTGTGAATCTACTTGATCTGGACCAAAACAAGTAAACCAACAGTCTTTCCTGGTATGAATGTGGCCTTAGTCATTCATGTCAGAGAAAGAAAAAACTTGCCTGCCAGGTGTCTCAGGTGGTTTTCAGTTAGGTAATCTTTACATTTGCACATTTTTGTCTAAATGATCTATCTTGACGAGGTTGCTCAGGAGCTATAATTTGGTTAGCACACATATTCATTCTCATCATTGGCTGTACTAGCACAAGTCTACTAGTATAGCTCACCTGTATTGCATCAAAGATCCCAATCCAGGCAGTTACAAATGAGCCAGACGTTTGGAAAATCAGATTGCTAATGAAAAATGATTCCCCGAGACTGTTGATTGAGGCCAGGTTTCCACCAAGAGCGATGCAGGTAAGCTGATGGGGGAGACAGAGGTCAACATGGAACATCTAAAAAGCATGTACGCAGATAAGACTGAGATGAAGAAGAGGCGAGAAATGATCTAAAGAGTAGGGGTGTGACGAGACCTTTAACCCACGAAACGAGATTCGAGATCGGGTTCACGAGACAAGATATTGAAATCTTTGATGCTGAATTAAATTAACATTTTGAGCATTAAAGACTTTATTGCCTGCATTACGATGAATTTTCCTGCACCAGTTTAAGGTGATTTTTTAAAATTTATATAAAGAAAAACACAAAATTCAAGTGGCTGGTGACAATTCAAAATCTATTTGGTTATCTAAAAAACAGAATATAAGTCAGTGCAGCTCTCAGTCATTCTGTGCTGCTTTCAGACCTGTTTCTCCCGTAGATCAACTTTTCTCATGTAATATCATCCCTGCTGAGTCATGATTTAGTCACCATAAATTATGAAGTTATAAACTCCTGGACTTTAATAGCTCCTGTGTTTCAGCAGCTTTTCTGTTCAAAACTTTCTGCACATTTAAGATCTCTCGCACATATCATGTGTTCTCTGACATGTCCAGAGAAAAGGCAGAATATAACCAGACTAACGTCATCATTTAAAGAGAAGTCTACCTGCCCTCTGCTGTGCATTACGTTTTTGATCCGATGGTAGTAACGTTATGCCAGTTTCTGCAGTTTGGGAAAGCATGTTGCATGTGAAACTGAAAGTAACTGAAACACTTTTGATCGGGCAGAAATCGCACCACAAATCCACACACGTTAACTTCAGCAGCTCAGATAAAGCGTGGCTCACATTTCCAAACAGAGCAAAGCTGGCGTCAGTTTTTAGATGTTTTATGTTGCAAATGTCAGTTGGTAGTTAATCAGCTGGGCGGATTTCACTGCCTGAGAAAATGAATGTGTGGCTTTTCAGCGTTAAACATTTGTGTCTGTCTCACAGGACAGCTTTTTACCTGACGAGAAATGTCGTCACAATTTAATCTTGCGGCGCGAAAGATCTCATCACACCCCTACTAAAGAGTGATTAACTAAGTACCTCTGCATTGGCCATGTCCTTGTGACTGGTCTGAACGATGAAACAACGGCTGCCATAAATACTCCAACCAGGAGGACAGGCTGCAAATTAAATTTTAGTTATTATCAAAACTGTGTTTGATTAACGCACTTACTCACATAAATACTGTCCAGTATCAACCAAAGTTAGCTATTGATTATGCTTACTTTCAATAATTTATGTCAGGGGTTTATATAGACAGTTTGTTAATACCAGAGTTAATTAAGCCAGACCCGGTGACCCACTGCAGCTCAGTGCGTCTGTCAGTAAATACCAATGTAGACACGTCATTGATCATTCATTAATCATTAACCATCTGACGATGTTGTGCTGTCTGTATAAACTTCTGTCATTGGACATAATTGAACATACAAAAAAACATATAAAGAATTTCCCCTCGGGGATCAATAAAGTATTTCTGATTCTGATTCTGATACAACATCCAAGCATAAATAAATTACAGCTACCCACCTCCCGTGTTTCGCTTAATCCTGCCGGACCACTGTGAACATGAACACACACATTATATCAGTTTGTAATTTTTAGTGTTATGTTTTAAATTTTGCATCCATTATCCTAAACAGTTTTTTAGTGTTAGTGTGACCGCTCCATTGTTGAGTCTTTGTGAAGCTCAGTAACCGCTGAATTAATATTCAGCTGTAGCTTTCAAAAGCTTCTTGTCAGTACAGTAGATGGCTTCTATCCCTCTACCTCCACCTGTCTGTTGCCATTACATAACCATGTGCATTTGCATTATTTACCTGGTTGCTCTGATTATAATTTGCATATAACTCACATAACATCCTGATTTTGGCACTTATTTTTTTTTAGGTATGGTGTTAAACAGGGATGTTTTGTTCATCATTAGGGCTTCGAGTAACCCTTATTTTTACGAATCACTATAATCATTTGATTATATCTGATTTATCTCTAATCTAATATTTGTTTACCCCAATGAATGAGAGAAAATAGTGTGAAAATTACAAAGTGATATTTAGCCTTAATGTTTTTATCAGTTTAACCGAATTTCTTCAAATATTCATATTTGAGCAACAATGTTTGGTATTTTGGTTTGATAAATTACTTTAATGATTAATCAATCAAAATAATTATGGATCAACTTATTAATTAATTGATTTAATGTTACAGGAAGCTTCACCTTTTTCTACCCCACTATTAGAAGAAAAATACAGTGATGAAATTCTAGTTTAGTGGAATAACAACATACTTGTAATGGAAGCGGATAACAACAAGCGCAGTATTTGACACTTTGACATGCCTGACTGTGACCACAATGTGATGTTTAACACATTCATAAATTATTTTCTTTCCTAATGTCAACAGATCAAGAGGCTAATAGAATGACATGCAGTACAAAATAAGATAGTTTTAGTTAGTTTTACAGCACTGTTGATACTTGAAAAAAACATTTTACTCACAGTTCCTGAAATCATCAGTCCGCTGGTCAAACAGATGAAAAAAGCCAAGTGAAAACCTGATGCCATCTGTGGAAAAGGAACACATTTATCTTGAACATCAGTAACTGACTGTATGTAATTTTGAATAAGTTAAAGAGAACTCGCATTTCAGCACTTTAGACTTTGTTGTAATTGCAAAATAGACACTGTTATGTGAGCAGGTATTAGAGGCTATGTCACTTTGGTTAGAAGTGTGGTACATTTTTTTACAGATGCACTCCATTCCTGGTATTTATGAAAGAGTTGGACTTGGATAGAAATGTTGTCAACATTTAAATGTCAACATTAAACCTGAATTTTTATTAAGCTATAGAAGATATCATACGGATATAGAGGATTAACATATAAACTTTTGACATTGCCATTAAGGCTGCAACAAATGTTTCCTTCTCAATTAATATATTTTTGATTAACTGATTAATGGAAAATAATCAGAAAATATTTATCAATTTCTGAGAGACCAATATGATGTCTTTAAATTGTTTAAACAAAATAAAAAAACAACAGTCCAAAACATAGATATTAAATTTACAATGATATAACAAAGAGAATGATTGATAAACGACTCAAATGATTAATTGATTACCAGAATAGTTGCAGATTAATTTTCTGTTGATTAACTGATTTGACTAAAACATTTCAGCTGCAATTGTCTTTGAAAGTAGTTCGTCTAGGAAATATCACCTTTGCTGTAGTGATGCTCTGATGCAGAGAGGATGAACAAACAGCAGTTTGTCTTGGAAAAGGAAGACCAGTCGTTGCACATCTATATATACTGTCTACATAATCAGTGTTCTTTGGCCTGGAATGTTAAATATGTCAATGTCAAATCACAGAAATGGGGTTTTCCACCTGCGACAACAAGGAAACAGGAAACAAGGAAAGAACATGTTTTTGCTCTCCTGGTTGGCAGAATTGCCTGTTTATCTCAGCTATCAAATTTCTTATTGAATCATTTTTAAGACGTAACAAACATTTTTAGCACTGGCCTTTTGCTTCAGCCTGTTTGGTTAAAATGACAGGCCAAGTCAGAGATGGCACAATAAATCAGCTGTAGCTCATTGCCAGTACGCTAACTTTCTAACACTGATTTCTAATCATACAAGACCAAAAGACTTGTCTAGAGAAGTTATCTATCTGATGCTATCGCACCAATTTCAGGAGATAATCTCAGTTCAGTTTTCATTCATATCATATCAATATGTTAAACTTGCTTTGGTGTGACCACACTTTGCCTTCAAAACAGCATCAATTCTTCTAGGTATGGGTGCAGATAGTTTTTGAAGGAACTCAGCTATGTTGGCCCAAACATCTTGGAAAACTCCCCACAGTCCTTCTGTGGATTTAAGCAGCCTCAGTTGCTTCTCTCTCTTCTTGTAATCGTAGACAGACTCGATGATGTTGAGATCAGCGCTCTGTGGGGGCCATACCATCACTTCCAGGAGTCGTTGTTGTTCTTCAGTCTGAAGATAGTTTTTAATGACTGTTCTGGGGTTGTTCTCATGCTGTAGAATAAATTTTGGGGCCAATCAGATGCCAAGTATCTGTCTGTGCTTCTTGGCTCAGAGGAGACCTGATCAAATCCCCAACTCTGTTTGCATAAATGCAGTTTTAAACTTGCAAGTAACCTCCACCATGTTTCACTGTTGCCTGCAGACACATTCTTGTACTGCTCTCCAGCCTTACATAATAATCAGATCTTGACTCATCATTCAAGAGCACATGCTGCCATTTTCTGCACCAAAGTCCTGTGTTCTTGTGCGAAGTCTTCCACGACGACAACTTCTGACCAGACTTCTCAGTAGATGAGTGTACCTGAGTACCACTCTGCTTGACATCTTCCTATTGCAAAGGTAAGTAAGCATGCTGTTTCTTTAGCCGACCACTGAGTCTACGATTGTTTCTTTGTTCTTCTTTAAATAAGCTTGGATGGCACATCTGGAAACCCCTGTCTGCCTTGAAATTTCTGCCTGGGAGAGACCTTGCTGATGCAGTATGACTACCTTGTGTCTTGTTGCTGTGCTCAGTCTTGCCAAACTGTCTTCAGCAACCTCACCTTGTTAGCTGAGTTTGGATTTTCCTCACCCAGCTGTATTCCTCCTACAGAGCTGTTTCTGTTTCAGTTAATAATTTTGTTTCAATCTGCATATTGAATTGGTGACTATGAGCACCTGTTTGGTATAATTATTCAATCATACACCTGACGATATGCCTACAAAATCCCTGACTTTGTTCAAGTGAACTAGAAGAATTTAGATTTTTTTCTTTTCATTTACTTTGCATTTTGTGTGTGTGTGTGTGTGTGTGTGTGAAATGTACAACTAAAGCATAGAGGAAACATGCTGGTTTTCTACCAGTCATGCTTTTCTGTTTCTGCTGGCAAGTGTTTTAAACAGTGCTAAAGTTAGTAAGACTTTTAAATACAAAACCCACTTTTCTACAGGATCGATC